AGATCGGAAGATGGTAGTGCCAAGAGGAAGGAAACGGAATCAAGACTTCACCATCTCCCGGCACACTTCAGCATGTAAACCGTTCGAGTGTCTCAGCGATTCCAGGTGGAAGAAGACTCATATAAACGTAGAATTTCCTACATAGTAGCGAATAATATTTTTTGCAAATAGAAATCTACTTTCCTCAGGAATTATAGACCAAAGCGCTGGAGTTATATGTTGCTACAGCGAATTTCACCCAAGTCAGGTTTTAGTTTGAAAAGAATAAGTAAATAGCAAGTGAAACTTTCTTGGGGTGCGGCCAGTTCAGGTTGTGCTGAGTTCTTCTGCTGTGCTCACTCAAGTACCTGAAATTTATGTTAGTAGTCACAACGTAGTAATATTTGTTCAGTATCGACCAAATCTAAAACCATGCTTACTTGGGTAAGACGGCATATCTAAACATGAATTCATCCGTATGCTGTCGTAATACTTGCAGTATCATTTGTCTGTGCCATTGACATATTACCCTCGATGTAAGCAGTACTTCATCTTGCAAATGCCGCACTCAACGAAGCCAACTCCATGGATTTGTACAAATACGCCCACCTATCCAACTTCTGCGCGGCTAGCTCGCTTAAGGTCTGCAAATTAAATAGTTAAAAGTATTTATTGATCAGGATTGTATACAGCCGCTTTTAAAGCCCTCACGATTGTGCAATAAATTAGCTGTCTCCGTCTCCTTCAACAGCTAACTTCACAGTTTCATGGGCTAATATTTCGTCTTGGGTATTCCCCTTTTAAATTAAAAATCCCACGACACTCTTACGTTATTTCAGTTGTGTAACTGCTTCCTCAGGCCATTTCATGGCTTTCTTCTGCGTCCTTACTCGATCACTTATTATTTTCGTTAAAACTTTTGCGGAGCGACCTTGGCAATGGAGTATTGGTTGGAGCTTTCTCGTTGCGTTTTTACCTTGTATTGAACACTCCAGTGACCTCCGAAACCTGCTCTAAATACACATTTCAGTTTTTATATGGCGTATTCAAATTTCACCTTTTTTTAACTACATTCGCTTGCTCGAATGGGACTCCCTTCGTCTTCCTACATTTCCGCCTTTCCCTCTGTCTGCCCTAAGGTCCCACCCGTAAAACTCCTATTACCACCGTACCCAAATTACAGGCCCCATGGTACCCCTACCGCCAGTGGGGCTGCAGGATCAAACCCGACCCATTTATAACTTCCAAATCATTGGGCACTAAAGCAATTTCTCCTTAGATCTTCTTGCCTTCTGTTGTGGTCTAAAAGAAGAAAGTTAAACGAGTAGTCTTTACTGTGCTCATCTTACCGAGTATCTTTAACTTGTCCAATGGGAACTCCAGAGGTTTCCTTACTTTCAGTATTTTTAGGTTGTGAGAAAAACCTAAAAATGTAGTTTTAGCGCGTCCTAATTTAATTTGCCTCCGGTTTAGAATGGCAGATAATCGCCTACCTATCAGCAGTACTTGCCAGAGCTACTTACGAAAATCACCACTAAGAGGACAAAAGGATGAATACTCAGGTCCCTGTAGGGCGTAGACAAAATAGGTCTCCCGGAAATATTTCCTCGACAGAGATTTTACAATGTGCCTTGGTTTAAGGGTCATTCTCATACAGGAGGATTTGACGGAGCAGTTCAGCCTTCAGCGGCCGTCACACACTCGACCAACGTTTGTCGCCTTGGGAAAAATGTCCCTTTACACCTCGTTCAGTCAGATCTGTCTAATCGGACATATGTAAAGGTCAAAAGCAGGTTGGCCAGACGTCAAAATGATATCCCACTAAAGTCCTAACTATCCGTGGCGGTTGTCCATGTTAGCTCTGCCTGTTTTGGTTAAAAGAAGGAGATGGTGACCTTTATCTATGCTTTGGGATGCTGAATGGCTTAGACTGTTATATAAACTCGTCGTTCTAACACTGGAACGATACCGTTGACTTAAGGACAATAAAGCCAGACTTCCTGTTACGGTTAGAAAGTGCTGGGTGTCATTGTACCATTCTTGGAATGTTGTAAATAGAATAGCAGCATCGTGTTTTAGCGCACACATACGGCAGGCCGACAGATCACACAGGCGCCCTAAAAATTGTGTTTTGGGTTCGTTCCCGCAAGAGCGGAGGCCCATTTAAAAGCCGAAATCCGACAGACAAAGATAGCAGAATTAAACCCCCTACCACTGGTCGGACACATCAAAGGTTTCTTTTGCCGATAAAAAAAAAACATTTGAAAGCAAAACGGCATTTGGGCATTATCTTCTTTGGTCATTCACTCGCCCGATTGCAGAGGGCATCCGTTAACATGAAAAAACACGCGGCAAACGTTTCTTCCATTCGCGTGGTTAAAGCGGTAGCAATATTCACATCATACGCAAATCTATTTTTTGCAGGAAAATGGAAGTTTCAGTTGTTCTAAGTGCCCCTCAAAAACATCTGTCACATTAATTTATCTCAAAAAATGCAAAAACGTGAGAAATATTTGCGTCAGATGTACCGATTTAGATTTGAGTAAGGCGTCGCAAAAGACCAGCCAGACTATGCGGACCGTTCCCTTTTGAGGAAATAATGCTAGTTTGAGTTAACATAATTACACTGAGATGGTTAGTTTGGCTACTGCCTCCAAAAGAATACACAAAAACCTATAATTTGTTTTGTAAGGCTTGATGGACCTCAACAATTATTGTTTTCCAATATATTAAGCATCTGATAAGTCGACGAACACTTGGTGCAATGATACCGTTAAACCGTAACACTTGCATTACGCTTCTCTTCTTCATTAAAAAGTAAAGTTTCAGAAATAAAGGGAAGTAGGAATTTAATTTGAACCAGACGACTAGTGCCTCTTTAGGGTATTCGTTACGCCATGTTCAACAAATTTACGTGCACACCCTTGACCATTAGTAGGCCTAAAATTAGAGGCGTTCAGTCACTTCGGCGTGCGTTTCACATCTGTGTTCCTAACCCTCCTGAGTGGAGAGGACCTGTTCGTGCGCGTCAACCTGCCTGCCTGCTTGCCTTAAACTCACAGCCGTCCTCGCCTTCATGCGGACACCCCCACCTGAACACGGTGTCAAGACATCGGCCAGAAGAATGGAGGCGAAGGAGGACACGGGCCGATGGTACGGTCGAGCCCACACCTTGGCGCTCCACTCCACATCCCCTGGTTCACACAGTAAACTACCAGGATTTTAACCAACAACAAGAGGGTGGCTGGCACAGCCGAAGTCGCATCTAGGCGTGCCGTCACACCAGCCTCGGATTCCAGGAAGTGGGAGTGCCACAAAGATCACATTAAGAAAGAACCATTACAGCCTGACTCTTAGACAACCAGTCGGCCGCTCCACACAAACATACACAACTGAGCAGATTGCGTGGACTGAGTTAGGGTGTCGGTCAGCTGCCTTCCAAGCCACAGCGCTCAACGTGCCGTGATAGTCTCAACCACCGATCACACATGCAGTGGGGTAGCCACATGAAGATGGAGCTGAGACGCACACTTCCCAGTTGCTCGAGAGTTGGCAATCGGATGCTTGCAGTGGACGATGACGATGATGATGTGTGATGAAGATGGTGGCGGCAGTGGTGGGGCTGCTGATGGTGGACGCGTTGGGGGATGGGGTGTGTGTTGGGCTAGGCATGGTGGGTGCGCAGGATGTGCTGAGTGTGGTGGAGTTGATGGTACTGGGCGGTTTGTGAGTTGAGGTAGACATGCTGGCTGCCCAAGATGTGCTGCGTGTGTCGAGATTGCGGCAAATTCCCCAGTCGTGGATACGCATACGGCCTAGTAGACCAGTGCGGTGAGTGAATGCGCGAGTGCAGTGTGGACACGTAAGGCGGACGCGGAGAGTGTATGCGGATGCTCCAGATCCTGGTTCGCCAGGCAGATGTGTGAGGCAGAGGTGCGGTCGCAATGAGGACAGGTATGGATCAAGTTATCACTAGCGTTGATGGCAGGGAGGTTGCCGTTTGTTGGTACGTCAGGATTGTGCTCAGTGGTGGTGGATACAGGGGTCGCCTCAGCGGGTGCTGGAGTTATATCAGAGGGTGGGAAGTAGGAGGAGGATGGCAGCGAGGATTCCGGATGTTGATAGAAAGATGTCCAATAAGTTGGATTGGTGCTCGGAACGTCGGTTGACATCGTGGGTAGGTTGGGGACGCTCGAGCGTCGGCGTTGAGTATTGGGCGCAGTTGATATTTGTGAATCTCGCATTTGGCTTTGACGGCGGTGATGCGGGTGACTTCTTAGTTTGCCGCGTCGGTCTTCTCTGCTCTCCTCCAGGTCGGGCGATCCAGGGCGAGGTCTTCCCCTTTAGCCGGGTTGATTTTTAGGCGCTTCAGGGAGGTCTTCAGAGTATCCATGTAGCGCCGGACTTGACCTCCCTGTCCGTAGGAACCCGTGGCGACATCTACATAGAAGAGCCGTTTGGGTAGCCGCTTTCCGTCGATCCGCACGAGGTGGCCTCCCCAGCGCACTGTACATCGTGAAAACCGGTTTCTTTGATTTTTAAGGAATGGCCTAAGTTATTGAATCAACAATTGACAACCACATCGGGTTTTCCTTAGCCTGCTCTTTGTTGTTCTTCATTCACATTACTAAGATGTTCATTGAGTCTGTCTGGTTCTAGAGTACATGTAAGGCCCTGAAGATGAGCACCACCTACTCCTTCGGCAAAACAGTTACAAGCAGCCTTAGGCTTTCGCGTCATCGGTGTAACTCAGGTGTCTCTAGCGTTTGTTCTGATGCATGTTTAAACTTCAGCTTGGCTGCTTCGCATAGTAAGAAAGCACGATCAGTACAACAGTAGATGTACTAGGGTGACCTATGAGATCACAACTATGGGAGTACAACAACAACAAGTGAAGAGATTTGTAGTCAGACAGCAAGTAATGAGAGGGGAGGGGAGGGGGCATTGTTTGTGATTGGACTGGTTTCATGCCATTTAACTCACACTGGTCTCAAGCCTTGGTAACAGCGTGCGTCATTACTTGAGAACTATGCGGCAGCAACGGCTATTTGAGCCTAGAAATTGACAGCAGGAGGAGAATATCAACGTATCTGCTGATACAGTTGGTTTCCGAAACCCACGCCTCCTACAGTTCCGACTCCACTATCCGCGTGCACTCAGTCGAAATTGTGGCCTTCTTAACCAGACATCAGAAGTCGATACTGTCGACGTACTTAATTGTAGTCAGTAGGTGCGTTTCTATTGTCGAGGAACTTGTTATCAGTTGGTGTGTTTCTACTGAGTTCAGCAGGTAGACCGTTTCGGTCATGTTGTTGGGTTTAGTTACGGTTAAGGTTAAGCTTACGGTTAGGTTTTAGGTAAGGGTTACGGTTAGATTGGTGTTAGGTCTTAGGGTTAGGGTTCTGGGATTGTGTTTTAGTGTTAATGTTAGGGTTATGTCTACAAGAGGACCAACATACGACAATTAATTCCTAAAATACAATGGCTCCCCAGTTTTACTCTTTTTTACCCGGAAGTCATACGTTCACCAGCTACTTCACCCACTTTTTAATACGTAAAAGTGTAGGCAGCCCGCCATCACGTCTCCTCTGCGGTTTTTTACGCGTAGATTTCCGTCATCCGCCTATATACTGTATTTCGTCTTCGTTGTCAGTTAATTTGCTTCCGCTTGTGTTTTCATTGACATTCATCGTTTTGCCTTGGGCTTTTCGGTTACCCTTTGCTGCCTTACTCTCACTGGTTAACGCGGTACGACCATCAGCTACACCTTTTCCTTTCAACAACTCTGACTTTCCGCAAGTCGTGCTGCGTTTGCGGGATTTTCTTAGATTTCTGCCTTTATTCCACTTCGTGAAAACTTATAAACCTTTTTTCGGGGAACCACTTCTACTGCCCTAGTCCCTGCCATTCATCCGCTCTTGTATTTACCCCACCGGTAAAACCCCCTTCCCCACCAGTCCCGTAAGACAGGGAGCTAGTCGTTGGCGTCCCCATTCCCGGCTACGAACTGCGATCTAGCCCTGGGCAGGTCCCAAGGGAGCACTACCAATATGAATTTTCCGGTCTCCCTCAAAACTCATTTTTACCAGATCTCACTTTTTCAATCGTTATATGGTAATGGAAATTACTATTTCTACACTGCGCAAAGTTTCCGTCGTCATTGGACATGTTTCTTCATGTATGAATAAAAGAAATTCAGTATTCATCGTTTCTCGTTATATTACTTTGTCCTAGAAAGTATAACAATATGGATTTTATGAAGATAAAACAAGTGCTATCTAGATTTAACCCGTTTATAACTTCGAAAGAATGGATCCTTTTTGAGTTGGCCCCATCCTCCTGCGACCATATTTTAGGCCTCCTACACTTCAGAGGCCAAGAACGTTTCCAAAACTGCTCAATATCGGCCATCAGTCACTGTAACCGTTTTTGCATCTTTGCACTGAAAAATAGGGCTCATTTGCACTTTGAAGTGTTACACCTCAGCAAACTATGACCTTGAGGGAGCGCAGTTCAAGATAATGGATGGTCCTCAAAGCCAAGGTATTCTGCTACTTCACGGAGGCAGTCAGATAGGAATAAGATTCATCTTTCAGGATCAAATTGCAACCAACGCTCTTTTTATCTGTGGATGTACTTTAGGATCCGATTTGGTGTCTTATCACTGCTGACAAGCTATCGGCTCCAGTTTAGGTACCAGTTGCATCTTGCATTGTTGAATGTATTTGCACGCACTACAACGACGCCCATAAGATTCCGACTGCGCGATAATTTTTCCGAACGGAACTTTATGGTTCTTCTAAAATGCCCTATTTCAAACTTTCAGTCTCATCCAAAGTAATTATTGGACATGATCTCCTGGCTAGTGGACAATAATTGTCGGCGACATTGAAACGAGCGACTAATTGCTAGTTCCGTGGTAGACTTTCCGTCAGGGAAATGACGCATGCATGTCTTCTGATTTGGACTTCCAGGCAAATGATTTTAAAAATGAAATACAGTGATATTTGCTTGCTGTTCCATCGTCAATGTTTCAATAGCAAATTTCTCCTGAAATTGTTTTTCAAATTTATGACAAAGATCTAAAAAGCAATGGCGGAAAAGTTAGTACATTTTTAAAGGGTAAAACGACTTGTGGAACACCATATCTCTGCTAGCACACAGACTCATGCTAAGGACTGAACCAATTTAGAATGTACCGAACATAACTCAGTCCCAGCCATTATCCGCTTTTCCTTTATAGAAAATGTGACAGGTCATATCGCAAGTGTTTTTGTAGCACAGAAAGCTGGCGTACGTCCCGTGCGTTGAAAAAGCCCTAAAAACAACCGTAAGATCAAATCACTTCTGAGAACCGGGATGGACTAGGACCTATTGAAAGCCCAGCCGTTGACAACGTCGTATGGACGTGAGTGGATGAGGTCAGAGAGCGGGACCAATGGCCTGGGATATCACGTATTGAAGAATGCAGCAAAGGCCATATTAAGTAGGAGGTACTGCAACCTGATCCTTGCTTTAGCTTGGAACCGAGCTATTCCGACAGGCATAACCTTCGAAACCAAGACTGCTAACACATAAATCCTTCATAGTGAATAAGATGCTGATTTGTTATGAGGGAACGCATTCATTTCGAGGTAACCCTGCCAGCACCAGCCCCGCCTAGCCCCGCCTGGCCCCCTCAATAATGGTGGGGCTAGAGGGGGCCATGAGGGGGCTAGGCGGGGCTGTGGAGGGGGCTGTGGCGGGGCATGCAACGCGATAGCCCCGCCTGGCCCCGCCAGCGAAAAAAAATGCGCAGGGGAGGCCACATTCCCGCCCACTTTTGGCACCACTTTAAAATATCGCCCCGATTGTCAAATATACGAATTAATAACACACACAGATTGTAAACCGGTGGACAAATAAGAGTTTACGCAATGAGGGACTTAAGCAAAACCTCAATATATTGTGCTCATCCGCAGCTACATTCAGTGGGCGTAAACGTATGCTTTCTCCATGATTTATAAGCCGATTTTGATAAATTTGCTCCTTTTAATTCCAAAGAAGGTACAATAAGTGGTGCTTTTGAAACGTATCTTTCGATGCAAATACGCCTAAAAATGCTTCGATGCAGAGGGGGCTCTGGCCCCACCCAGCCCCTTCCAGCCCCGCATATGAAGGGGCCATGTGCTGGCAGGGAAGGGAAGTGTTCCCTAAGAAATTTCCTAAACGCTAAGTTTCTCCAGGAGCTCACCGACGTAGCCAGTTGACGGCGTCATCCTTTTGCTCTAATGAACAAAGAAAGAGATTCAGTGTCTCTTTGGAACGGCAGACTTCCTAATATTGAGAAAAAAACTTTCATACGCGAATGAAGAGGGAAACATGACAGCTCAATTCGAAAATTCTCGAGTTTTAAACACCTACTAACAATTCCGTGGACAACGTCGCAGGCAATCTGCATTTTGTTTTAATAAACAGATTTACCTTCTGTGTAATCTGCGAAGACAGCGAAGTCTTAGCAGGAAAGAGGAATGAGTAACTCCAGCATGACGGGTGGCTATGCGTCGAATCCCAGGGATATCTTTGCACGCGTTCTGAGCCTAATCCTAACCTTAACCATCCTGTAATCCAGCGCATTGCCCGCTGTAATGCGGAAGATACCTATTTCCGTTTTCTGGTGAAATTTTAAGACCCTGGCTAAAATATAATGCAGTGTTGGTGTTCAGCAAATAGCGGCACAAAAGCAAAGTTCAGCTATAGCCGTTACCTAAACTAACAACACATGGAAGAGTTGGGATAATCCGTAGGAAGCGTCCATTCATATGCGCAAGTACCTTTATCTACTTGCTCGGCTTTTCCTGGATTATGATCGACAGATTGGGCTTATTTTAGGCCCTACTTTACATGTTCGTATCTGTGCATATTTGAGAGCAGCCCCTTAAAACCACTGTTGGGATTGCCGTAGTCTTCGAAAGAGGAATTACCACTCTTTGCTCCAGCAGATACTTAAGCTTCGGTGCTGATGCCAGCTCAACTGTGGGGTTATTTGACTTCATCTTACTCCGATCAATAATGCTGAAAGTTTTTAAGCAAATATCTACGTCGCCTGAGCTTCTTTTCCGCATCTTTTGACTTTTTCATTATGAAATGAGAGTATATAGGCAGCAACAGGATATTAACATTGACTACGGGGTTATGCCTGGCCCCTGGCATACCTGAGAATACAGACAGTATCATATATTAAAAGTCCGCAACTAGAGCTTCT